CACAGGAATATCCCACTTCCTCAGGAGCAGGACTTGGCTCCAAGTACTCAAGCAACATTGAGTGGAATGATTTTTGTCCTACAGTTTTTGTTTGGTTTTGCTTTGGTCCTTAGTATACAAACCTGCTGGTTATTTTTTTTTAAGACACTTGAAGTTGTTTTACAAAGGTTCTATACTTACTGGCCCATAAAATGCTTGCCCATAAAAAACAATTAAGAAAACAAGCCCAAAAAACACCTAACCACAAACATGGGGAGCAGAGCATTGATCAGGGAGGCAGTGGAGAGCAAGGTTACACCTGACCTTGGTCTTTCTGTAGAAACCACTGTTGCTGCCAAGGGACATAAAACAGCGCTAAACTCTAACACCAAGCAGCCGCTTAGCATTTGTGCCCCGATAAGGACTTCAGGAATTTGTAGATAGAAGATAGACGAGCGAGAGTCGGGAGCCAGGATTGCTTCCCAAGAGCCAAGGCTGGGGCAGCAGATAAAGCCTCACTCGAGGACTGACTGGAGCCAAAGAGCAGCCGCGGGGCAGACACGGGCTCTAGCACACCTCATCTGGGCTGGGGCACAGAACCGCCACAGTGGCTCTGGAGAGGCTGCAATACACGAAAGGGGAACATCTTATCCACAGGAAGAGACTACATCAGCAGTGTTCAAAAACCAGAGCTAGCAAGGGTCGTAACAGGTTTTTGGCAATACTTTGAAAGGCCAGAATGGAAAAGGCTCCAGTGACTTCCTAGTCCTTACAGGCACGTAGAAGAAGGCACTGAGATACTGTTTTTGTGGTGTACCACAAGGCAGCACAGGGGAGATGTCTTACGGGAAGCTGAAGACTTGCGCTTTCCTCCTCCACGCTGCACTGGGAGAGACAGAGTGCGAGAGCCTGGCTACGCTGCCTGATCCAAGGCCATCCAAGTAAGGCACTGAGCACGTGCTTAGCCGAGAGTAAAGCAAGGAGAGGATGTTGCTATGAACACAATTTGTTAGTTTTCCCCTTTACAAGTGTGCAGAACCTGAAGATGCGCAGGCTTGTGTGCTGTTCAAACACGCTGCTTTTTCATCAAGATGATGTCCAGTTTCTTGGAGGAACAGCTCCAGACTTCCCATTTCCGCAATTTAGACAGCTCTTCTGTTGTCAGACCTGGTAAAGCAGCATTAGATACTGTTGGATTTAATCTAGATTAGCATGATAGGGCAGGTTGAAGAGAGAAGCAGCAAGATTTTGGATTCAGAAAGGCTGCAAGTTGTGCTTGTGAGTTTCATCAGACCATGTTTATGAAGTTCATGTATCAGGTGCAAGAGATGGACTGACAAGGATCTGTGACAGAGCTCCAGCCCTCCTCTGAGGTCATAGGGAATGGGGTTGTTCTAATACTTAAAAGTTAGCCAGGACAAGTCTCTAAGAGGCTGTGCTAATGTGTTTCTAAAGAACTAAAGCCCCTGAAACGCAAGTTGCACTGACAGCCAGGACCCCTGCTTGAGGACTGAGCTGGCTGGGAAGAAGCGACACCCTCCACCTGCACAGCAGCCCCCAGCGGTGCCTGGCTGCTCGCAAGTGGCAGAGGAGCTTCACAGACAGGGCTCTTCACCCAGCAGGCACCTTCCCTCCTTGGGGTTTGGTTAAGCACAACTCCTAGCAGCAAGGTTTTGCTCCTGGAGTCTGAGCCCTTCCATGACGGGCAGCTCTTCTTGGCACCATTAGGTTTATCTTTTCAATTCCAAAATGAAGCCCACAGCATGTAGAAATCCACGATGAAGCCTCAAAGCAAGCACAAACAGCACTGCAGTCTCTCAGGGCTGAAAACAGGGTTCAGAAGGAA